AAAAGAGATACTCGAAAATAAGAACTATGAATATAACTACGGAGTCTTTAGGCGTCCCCTTCGCCGTCTTCCTGCGGAATGGGATCGGGAACAACGTTTTCCTGATCTGAAATAGTTAAATAAGGAATGAACTACACCAGCCCAGTAAAGACATCACACTATCTCACCACCATGGAAGTAAAGGTGGGTAGAAAACACAAAAAGATCAATGGAGCATAATTTATAATAAACTCGTTTATTAACATAAAGACTTTTACTGTCCACTTACCTCGGTGAGGTCCATAAAACAACATATGAAAGCAATAACATTATCATCATCATGAAATCATATGAACTGTATAACAAAATACTTACCACGCCTTTGCGTTTCAATCATTAAACAACACATTTTCCTCATTTACCAGCCTACTAGTATCCATGGGGATCCATAGGGGTCTCGCTACCCGTGAACTCTTAATATTTATAACCTGATTCCAGAGCCGTCCCCATACCCCGTCCGGTATGGGCACCAAAACCATGAACCTCAATACCCCGTCCGGTATGAGGGTGAAACGGGCCGTCCCCATACCCTGTCCGGTATGGGCGCTGAAACACATAAGATCTCCATACCCCGTCCGGTATGAGAGACCACATTCCTGGTAGGGTTCCCTACGGACCCGGTCCGTCCACCATCTCCCATGATATCTAGTCAGGCTGTCCACATTATCCACTTATCAATTCACGTAACCTTTTTTCCCTTTTTCTTGGTTTCAATCATCCAAACACACACAACATGTAAACCAGTAATAGACACCAGACAAGACAACACAGTATCGAATTCATCATAATACAAACTATAATAAAAGAAACCATGATTCATGCATACGAGACCATAACGTAATTACATCAAACATCATGCTGCATTTAATACTGAAAATTAAATCAAACAATAACATACCAACACTGTATCGGACTCGGGCTCCATTAGCAACTTTAATTAATTATACATTTATAAAGTCACACAGTATAATTTAATTATTTATTTAGCTTTAATACCGTGATAGGAAATAGGGTGAGGGGTCCTTACTTGTTTCGGGGTCTGAATACGGCTCTACAGTGCACCTACAGGCTGTCCCTAATTTTTTCTGAATTTTTTTCGGGGAACTGAAACGCACTACTGGTACCTGCACGTGTCCTAAAAAATCTCAAATTAGACCTAGGGCCCCTTTCGGCCAATATCGCAATTCCGGCATAGCTGCTCCGCCGTGCGCCGGCGACGGCGCCGCCGCTTGCGGCGGCGATTCACCTCAGGTTGGCCGTTTTCGGCCGAATTCGGCCACGCTTGCATCTGTCCCCGCGATATAACAACCCTAAGGCCCTCGGTGGGCCGAAAAATCACGAAATAAAATGGTCGAATTCGGCCATGCTTGCATCGATCCCCACGATAGAACAACCCTAGGGCCCTCGGTGGGCCGAAAAATCACGAAAAATCGAAACTTACCGGCGGCGGTGCTCTCGGGTGCGGCGGCTCCTCCGGCGTGAGTCGTGTTTTGATGTTTGGCTCCGATCAACCTGTAGAGAAAAGAACGATGATCACAGTGGTATAAAATTTGCATCAAACGGAGGCCGGGAAGGGCCTCATCGGAGGCAAAAACCGAGGAGGGGCGCGGTGGCGCCGCTGGGTTTCGGCTGGGTTTTCCAGCCGTTTGGCCGATGGTTTGGCTCCGGTTTGGCCATAGGTGGACTCTACATCGAAAAACGAGCAAGGGAGAGAAAAATTACCTTGATCAGTGGTCGGAAACTTCCCCGGTGTGGCGGCGGGTGGCGGCGGCCGGCTCCTCCGGCGTCTGGTTCTTCTTCTCCGGCGACCACTGGCGGCTAGGGTTTCTTTGGTCAGGTGTGGGTGGGGGTATTTATACCCTTTACCTTTTAATCTTGACTGTCCATCAAGATTGGATTTGGGATGTCCGATCGCGATTTAATTGGGATTAAATCTGGGTCGTTCATCACGATGCAATCTGGGCCATCCGTACCTGATTGAATCTGGGCCGTCCGTGCTCGTGGATCTGGGTCGTCTGTGCGCACGTTTGATCTGGGTCGTCCGTGTGCGCGGGAACGGATCTAGGCCGTCCGATCGCGCGCACGCGGATCGCCCACGTGGCCCGTTCCCTGGTCAGCGTTGCCTTGTCACGCGGCACGTTCTGGTTGGCCGGGGCTGCTGACCGGGCCGCTGACGTGGCTGCTGACATGGTGCTGACGTGGCACAACTTTTCTAAATTATATTTTGACCCCCGGTTTCCGATTTTCTTTTCAAAAACACTCACAGAATTCAAATTTTCACCCCTTTTTCCCAAAATCAATTTCAATTAAGTCCAAATAATATTTTTACCCAATTTTATCATTTTTATTATTTATTTTTTTCATTGAATTAAATTAAACTAAGTTAAATAAAAAATCAAATAAATAAAAAAAGAATAAAAATAAATAAATAAAATTTTTATTTATTTATTTGGGTGTTACAGAGAGTATTTTCTTGTAAATCTTATTCAAAAATTTGTTAAAGTTTTTAATTTGAGATGTTTAAAAAGTTATGTTTTGAAAATATACAACTAAAAATATCGTTATTAATTTTGAGCATAGTTATCATGCTCAGTTAACCCCAATTATCTAGGTACTGAATATTTTAAACTAGTTCATGACGTAGATTTCTTCACGTTCATTTTTCTTCTCAATTTGGATTTTTAAAAAGTTAGGATCTAGAAATAAGAAAAATTAGAGCAATATAATAAGTTTTAAGCAATGCATTTAAGTGTTTGATTGTATTACTTTTTTTTATAAAAATATTTGATTGCATTATAAAACTAGAAAATTGAGAAACTCCATTAGTATTTTGTTAAATAATTGAATTCTTCTCCAAGAAGTGAAATTTAAAAGACATCTATAATGTTCTGTAAGTAACTTTCACTAAATAAGATAAACTAAGAAATATTAAAACTACTAAAATTCGATATACTACTTCTAATAAGAGAGAATATTAATATTAATAAGAATAAAATTTTAAAATTACTAACATTATAATAGACTCATAAATACTAAAGTAGTTTACGTTAAATATAATTATAATTTGGAATCTATTTAGGCAATCTAGAGCCTTAAAGATTATGCTATAAATGTCTAAGCAAACAAAATTGGGGTTCCACTATAGCATTAATATTTATTGGATTCACTAGTTGAAAATGTTGTGTAAACACCGTACATGCAAATATTAGGGTTCGGCTTGTTACAGACGAAACAACAGCCTAACTTTTTGGTCTTATATTTTTGGAGATTTACATTGGCGATGTGTAGTATTTTGACGAATGTGATAGTTACTCTATTAAACAAATAGATATATATTTTACAGAGACGAAGATGTACAACGTATTTTTCATTGTTAAATTAATCATTTTGTATGTAGAGTAATAGAGCTTTCAAAACCACAGAAAAAACATTGCGCCTCTTATTAAACCTTTGTCAAGCATTTGGTTAAAATCATCTACTTAGGTAAAAAAAAAAATTGGAGAGAGAGGATTTTCTTGTCTTCTACCTCAGATACTGTAAGACCTCTGAGATGTTTGCCCATTCACTACGGTTAACAACCTTATATACATATCCTCTTATCCAAATCTATTTGGAGCCACAATTAAGCGAAAACCCCCAGTTCATCCTGCCAAATGCCTTATTGGAATCTAGTTTTAGGACCATTCCTTTTTGGTTCTATGCATATGTCACGCTACTTTATTAGTTATAAGGGATAACAATCCAATATCCTTTTTGACATGTTTTTCTTTGATATTAGAATGATCAATGTTGATTTCATACTTTTACAAATTCTCTCATTCAAGTGAAATTTTTCAAAAACTTTCATCAAATTATCCTTTATAATATCCCAACATAATTGGAAAAATATACATGTGAGTTTATCTGAATTAGGAGTTTTTTTAATCCTCATTCTCCAAATAGTTCTCCTAATCTCATTTTTTGATGGTTTTTTTTTTTAACATTCTATTTGAGCTATACTCATGGAGTGCTAATAAATGCCCTCAATATAGGGGGTTTAGAAGCAGTTGGCTTAGTTAAAAGAATTTTTTTTAGAAAAAAATTTAATGAATTTCATTAATTGACTTAATCGATCAATTAAGAATGAAAAAAAATGAAACGGAGCTGAATATAATTTAAATTGAAAAATCAAGTGAAATACTAGTTTTACTTGATTTGGTTAAAAAAATTTCAAAACAAAAAAAAAAAATTATCAAACCTGGTTAACCAACCGAATCAACTGATTAAATAAAACTAGAAAAAATCAAAAAAGAAAGTAGAGGACATTACAAAAAACTATTGCCCCTCTTATTGAACCTTTGTCTAGCATTTAGCTAAAATTATTTTCGTTTTGAGATGTAGTTTTTTTTAATATTATTTATATGTTTAATTATTTAGTATTTAAGTATATTTTTTTGTCATTTCATTATTGGTTGTTCAACTATTGCAATAAAGATAAAAATTATTAGATTACTATGAAAAAAAATAACATAAATAGAAATTTATTTTTGATGATGATTTTCTAATTAGTTGTAAAAAATTTTGTATATATTTTCATTTTTTTTAAATTTTATTTTTGATTATTACTAAATATGATCTGGATTTGGCCAACAATAAAAGATATTTAAAATTATAATATTTTTTTAAATAATAATCGGTGTTATTACCCTAACATAAAGAATTTTTCAAATGAATCTGTTTTATTATTTAATCATAATCTTTTATTTGATTATTGAAATTTAATATATCTAATATTTGAAATATTCAAAATTATTTTAAATTAATTAAATATTTTATTATTTATTACATGTCCCATACGAATATACTCTTTCATAATAATATATTTATCCAAAAACATTGCATATCGTTTTTAGAATTCGAAAATTGATTCAAAATTTAAAATTATAAAAAATGATTTTATAAAATATTGTTTTTGGTGGAAGAGAGAGGGGGCCGAACCCAAATGAAGAACAATTGGATTGGGGCATTTTGCAAGACAGACGAACGATCCAGCCTGTTCGGTGCTGTCAATAGGTATTGAGAGGCTAGGGTTTATAAATGCATCGCTAACCACAAGAGATCGAACGAGCCGCCGCTTCCGAGTTAGCTGTGGTTTCATAGAATCTTACCAGAGAGATGGATGCTATGAAACCTCTTGCGAAACCGTTAGAGAAAAGAAGATGACGACGACGACGAAGATGAAGGAAGCGTCATGAATCGTGAAGATGCAGTCCTTTCGTCAAGTCAGTGATCAACCAAGATAATCTCGTCTCTTGGGTGAGCGTCCTTTTAATCTTTTATTACTATGCTTTTGCACTTGATTTGGATTGCGTCACGATCGGTTGAAGCGGGAGTTGAGGAAAACAAGAGAAATTTTTTGATCTTTCATTTCAATCACTGGTTGTTTGGGTCAAGCAATGAACTTTGCTAAAAAAATTATCCAGGTGACTTCATTTATAATTAGGGTCAATTTGGATTTGCGGTCATTTTTCTTTAAATAATTTGAGTTTGTTAAATATGATTGATTGGATTTTGAATCTCGTTTCCTTGTTTGCATATAATATATGTGAATTAAATTGTTGATTATATACGGATGGATACTGGAATTAAATTCTAGTAATTTACCTTTCTGTTCTCTGGTTATCATTTTCAGTTATATATCCTAAGTGAACTAGTATACCGATTTTCAAAGCCTAATTTATCCATATCGTGGTTATATCTGCTTCATGCAGGAGAATCTATGGCAATTTCTGACTTTTTTTTTCCAATTGTGTGGACAATAATTTTTCTTGTAGATGTATGTATTGATTTGCTATTTAAAAAAAGTATGTATTGATTAACAACTTTTAGGTTTAAATACTACTTAATGCAGTTATTGCAATCTGGCCTTAATGGTTAATATTGGTTGTGACGAATACTTGGACATTTCTGTTGGTTAAAATTTAGGTTTAGGTTTAGTCGCATTTTGCGTTGACCAACATAGATCCCAGGAATGCATTCATTTGTATCATTTATAAACGCTATATCGTAACCATGGTCATGCACACTTGATTGATGGATAATGCATCCTCTTAGTTTTCCTTTTAAAGAAAACATGTAACCTCATGATTTCTAGTTATCTAACTTTTTACTATTTCAAGATTTATTATTAATTTGTAATGTAATTAACTAACATAACACCATATTTTATATTGACAGCACTTTTTACAATAAGCTTTATGCACTCTTTAAAAATGGCCCAAAACTGGAGGACGCTGAACAATCCCCAACCAAAACCTTCGCCAGCCATTCACAAAATTTTTTTTTCGTTCCAAAGAAAATTGTGTGAATGGCTTGCGAAAGTTTGGGTTGGGGATGAGGAGTGATGCTGGTAACTGAAATTCTCTTAAGGTTATATGCTGCAAACTCTCTTTCTTGATCAACTAGCGAGTGATGTCAATACAGTAACTGTACTAAACCGGAGGAGGTTGAGCAATTCTGTGAATGGCTTGCAAAGGTTTTGATTGGGGATGAGGAGTGATGCTAGTAACTGAAATTCTCTTCAGGTTATACACTGCGAACTCTCTTTCTTGATCAACTAACGAGTGATGTCAATACAGTAAACCGTACTAAACCGGGGAAGGTTGAACAATTCTGTGAATGGCTTACAAAGGTTTTGGTTGGGGATGAGGAGTGATGCTAGTAACTGAATTCTCTTCAGGTTATACACTGCAAACTCTCTTTCCTGTTAACTAGCGAGTGATGTCAATGCAGTAAACCGTACTAAAATTTTCTTATGCAGTAGTAATATGTTTTTTCATAGCACTTTTCAGGTACTTTTGTTTTGCTGCAGACTACATAGACAAGTGGAAGGAAAGATTCATACCAGGAAGGACTTTTATGCTGCCTATCAATTGAAGTATGATCCACAGCAGAGCTAGAAGAATAGAGGACACAGACTTTCATACCATAGTAAACCCAAATAAACGTGCATTTGATTATGTTATCAATAGCATATACAGACTCCGTATCATACAATGGAGGAGATCATGCGTCTCCTTGTTTTTCATGTTTATTTTATTAAGAATTTTCTAAAAGACTTTTTCTGGAAGGCTGGATAAACTAGCTTCTTGTTCGTTATAGCAAATGGATGTTGATAATTTCTTGTGCTTATCTGGATGATATGATGTCAGAACAGGTTCATTGAGAATTAGTATTCCAGATGGAGGAATACAGATTGCAGTATATCTTAGGAATTTGGACCTTAAAGAGGAAAAGGATTCTAGTCTCAGCTGAGTTTCCGGGGAATCATGTTTGCGACATGAATTGGAGGCAAGTTAATGGAAGAGGTAATATTTGCTGGCTGAGTTCTGCAACGTTCACATCCTATATCTACTTTTCTTATTGTATGATAAAATGATGAAGAATCACTGATTAGTTTTTCATGATTCATAAAGAAGATTACATGAATATGATTTGAAATTTAACCTGATCATGATCTCCAAAAAAAAATATATATAACATTCACAGAATTGTACAGCCAAAACTATTTTCCACTTAAAGTTGTTTTTCCAGAAGTCATTTTTAAAGCATTTTATCTTTTTCCTCACAGCACAAGCATCAGATTTGTGTCAAATGGACCCTAAGTAAATTAATAAAATAACAAAACAGTTTTTATCCAAATCCAACATTTTCTTTTCTTATCACTGACTTTATTGGTTAAATGTTTTTCTCTAACTGTGTTTTCTTGGTATTGATCTTCTTCATCTTTTTCTTTCCAGTTGTATGTCATTTCTCCATCTTGGGGTCGAATGGGTTAAGGTTAGGGTTATGGAATGTTTTCATCAATTGACTTCCCCCCCTCTTTTAACGATATATTATATCTTATTCTTGCTTATATTGCTACCATAATTGTATAATCTATGTTGTGCCTTGTTCTGGTAGTCTTTACTTTGCTGTTCTCTAGTGGGCTTTATAAATTACAACTTGACAAATTAGTTTGTTATGTTTGGCATTGTGAATTTTCTTTCTTTGATATTCTTCCCTTGTGAAATTAATTAGAGTAAGCATACAAGTAAAGTTCTCTTTGTGTATATTGGATAATCAATTTCATGCTTTTAATGCTTAATTACGTTGGTGGTTCATTTATAAAAAGTTTTTTTCAATGAAATTGCTTTGCTCAAGAATGGATTCAAACCTGAAGTGTTGATTTCTTGTCACAATCTTCTTTGGCAAATAATGAATGTCCTTTTCATTGTGAGAGATGCAATTGAATTCCTTCAAGCTTAATTGTGTTGAGAGCTTCTTTCTTTGGTAGTCTTTACGACATATTCGTGTTGAGGCAAATGGTTTGAAAAGTATTATATAGGAAGTAAGTCCTAGTGCTATGTTTAGAACAAAAGAACATCACTTGAGGAAGTCATTTAGAAAACCACTCTTTGATTCATTAAGGAATAGTCAAAATTGTATTTAAATGATAAATTGACATTTAGGAAAATTTTATATGAAAGCGGACTAATCAATTTTGAATTCCATGAAAATTGATAGAATTTAGAATTCGTTGTTTTAATATTACTTGGAATTCATAGGAGGTAAACTTTTATTATCTTTCAATAATATTTTCATTTTCCCATAGTCAAAGTAAGTGTGGATTTTCTAATAAATTCAACAAATAGTTAATTTGTTCCAAATATAGCATGAGTTTATTATTTATTTCTTAGTGCAGAGTGTTCTTAATTCTATCCTTTAGCATGCTGCCTAAGAAATGATACAAAATTGAGAATCAACGTACTTGTATAATATTCTTTATTTCCAATGTTTTATTTTCTTTCCCTTTCTCTATATTTAGTTCACCTTGCAAAGGCTACGAATTTATTATTCCATTGTGCACATTTATTTTTCACTTAACATGAAAAGTTCATCCTTTAGCTTCAGTGGGATATGAAAATTGCTTTTCACTGTAATACTGGAGTAATTCCATTAACTTAAGTGTGGTGTGAAAATTGCTCCTCATCATAGTACTTGAATAGTTTATCTTCCTAATGACAATTTCTTTTTTGATATATCTAAATCATAAAATTAGCAGACCTCAGGAGACTTCATTTCTTTTATGCAAATGTTGGGAGAGCAAGTGATGCACTCATCTCTGAAGGAAATTTCAACGTAGAATATGAAGATAGACTAAGCAGCTTACCAGAAGAGCTTCTCAAGCATGCATTGTCAAAAAGTGGAGATACATCTATGTGTCTCTTCCTAATTTTGTATTTGATTCCTTACAATTTGCTGGTGCTGAAAGTAGACTTGATTATTTTGAGGAGTTCATATAACAAACGCTGTTGCATCGTGATGACAAAGACATACCAACCATCAAATTCAAATTATGTAGAGGAAGAGCACACACCATTTTAAAGACCAAATGGATTGATTTTGCTTTGAAGCATAATGTTGAAGATCTCGTCTTTGAAGCTCCTTTTTTTTAATAAAGATGGTTTGGTTCTTGTGTCTTTTCCTCCAGAACATAGAAAAGATCTCATTTATCTTCCCAGTCTTAGATAATTGCATCTCGGAGGTGTCATTTTCACTGATGGGTGATTTGACGTGGGAATGATTCTCATCATGTCCAGTTTTGGAATCCGTGCAATTGAGGAATTGTGGTCTGTCTTTTTTAAAGGTTCTAAATATCTATGCTCTCAGACGCAAATATCTTCATATAGACTCTTGTCGTTGGCTCAAGAACATTGAGATCGATCTTCATACCTGAAATCTCAAATCACTTATATTAAGATGAAATCTTGCACAAAACTATCATATTAAGGACAGTCTTTCTATTCATTATGCACATATTCAAGGAACAGTTTATAGAAACAAAATGAGTATAGATGTTCTTAGTTGCACTGTATTTAAGTTGCTGACTGAACTCTGTAATGATGATGTAGTAGCTGTGGATAACTTGTCCTGGGAGGTATATGCTTTGTCCATTTCTTCTTCTTATTGATTGTTCTTTCTTTTTTGCTAATTACTTGATATTTTTAATGCAGCCTCTAACCTTTTCTTTTAAAAAAAATACAAGTAACCAATGACATTCCTTCATGTTGCAGCTCCTTTTCTACAAGGCAAGTAATTCATTGATATATGCAAATGCAATTACTTTTCAAAGCCTGAGCAATGTATATCTGCCTGTCTGGCCATCCAAGAAACATATACAGATGATCATGGTCCTCCGTGGTAGAATGCCAAATGTACGTAGCACGTACTTTTTAATGCTTTTGAGTTCCTAAACTCTGATTCTCTTCATATCTAACTCATATTTATTAGCCACTATCATTTGAGACAGCAGATTTTTAATTGTTAAAATCTTTGTTTGCTATAGTTATTATTATTATTATTTTTCTTTTGTGAACTTTATTAGATGTGCAGGCACAAGAACAGTATTTATACATGTCGACTTTTGAATGGAATTCAGAGAACCTTGAGACTGTCGGGATGCCAAGCATTGTGGAATATATTTACACTAACATGTTTGTTGGATGTGAGATCGATCTTCTCCTGGTGAAAGTTTTCCTTTGAGAATGCAAAAGCATTAGTGAAGTTGACCATCTCTACCTTTCAGAATGGTACTGAAGCTGATGATGGAAAGAGGTCTAAGATTATTGAGAAGTTATTGTCATTTTCAAGAGCTTCAACAAAAACAAAAATACTTTTCTTGTAATTTAAATTTAGTTTCGGAAAAGAGGTTATGACATTTGTGCTGCTTATTTTCAACTAGCAAGGGGGTTCTCATATTTGTTATTTGAGTTTCGTATGTCTGCACTTAAGTTAACGAGGTGCCCTTGCTGAAATTGGTTGAGAGATTCTTGGGTAAATTCTTTTCTTGGCAATACATAAAGTAAACATTTCTGCTTATTGTTGGGAATTGTACGTTGGAAATTTAGAGTATCAACACTGAAATGCTGATGCTTTTGTAGGTGATATTATTTCCTCGGCTAACTTCTGGTTCCTGTTAGTGGTTTGTGGAATTGGAAAATCAGTGTGCTGGGCTATATTTTATTGTGCTTTGATAATTTCCTAAGGAGTGGAGAATCATACGATGGTCTGCAATACTTTTAAGGATTCTTATTATTTTTATTATGAAATACTTGGTGCATAAATATGGTCCAACATTTTTAAACAAAGGAAAAGCTTTTAATAAGTTAAAATGCAATGAACATAGATTGTTTGTGTCTCTATGAGTTGTTTCAAGATTTTTCTTATGAAATGGAAAAGTAAAAAGAAATGATTCACTATCAATTGATTTCATTTTTACTTTTTTGATCCACTCTTTTGCTTGTTGCCATAAATTTTGTGTTTAGATTTTTTTGAGTTTTACTTTGATTATTACTAAATTTAATCATGACTTAGCCATGCAATACTTAAGAATTAATCATTTTTTAATGTTTATTTTAAAATAAACAGGTTTAAATATTTAATTAACAAAAAAAAAAGTTTAAGGAGTTTGAAGTTAAATAAAATACAACTCAAATGGTCTAGATAATATGTTGAGTGTTGTCAATTGGTGTATATATTTTTATTGTTAGTTAGATAAAAATAATTTATTCATCAATTCAGATTTTTGTTTAGTTATTATTAAAAATGTGATATTTTGTGAACATATATGTATTGTATAAAATTAGTTCTCGCGCGATGCAAGTGTCAATTTTACGCATTCAATATGGTTTGTATATAAATATTTTGATTTAAGGTAACCTGTGTAGGAAGTATAATTCTTACCTAATTCCCTTATTTATACGTCTAATTATTTAATATTTACGTACATTTTTTATATTTTTATTTTTTGTTATTTAACTATTGTAACGAAAATAAAAATATTAGATTTTCATGAAGATAAAAAAATAAACCCGAACGTATTTTGATGATAATTTTTTAATTAGTTATAAGAAAATTTATAATTATATATATATGTTTTAATTATATTTTGATTATTATCAAATTTAAACATGATTTACTCAACTATTTAAAACTCTCTCATTTTCTAAATAATAATCTGTAATATTATATTAACATCAAAAGTTTTTGTAGTGAATCTGTTCTATGATTTAAGTAAAATATTTTATTTAATTATTGAGATTTAATATATGTAAAAAATAAATGAAATATTTTTAGGTATATTCAAAATTATTTTAAATTATTTATTATAATTAAATATTTTATAATTTTTTATATATCCATACAGTTATACTTGTTCATAATAATATATTCATCGAAAAACATTGCATATCATATTATAGATGGAAAAGAACTGATTCAAATTTCAAAATTATAAAACTAATTTTATAAAATATTGTTTTAGGCGGAAGAGAGAAAGTTGGATTTAATAAAAACAACATTTTCTTAAGAAGAAAAATTGATTTAACATTTCTTAGATTGATTGGTCCAAGGGGCCGAACCCAAGTGAAGAACAATTGGATTAGGGTATTTTGCAAGAGAGACGGACGATCCAGCCTGTTCGGTGCTGTCAATGGCTCTATATATATTCATCTTGTTTGTGATTTGAGATGTAAGGTTTATAAATTCATCGTTAACCACAAGTGTAGAACGCGCCGCTTCCGATTTAGTCTGCATGTAGCTGCTGTTTCATAGAGTCTTACCAGAGAGATGGATGCTATGGGACCTGTTGCGAAACAGCAAGAGAAAGAAGATGAGGAAGACGATGAAGATGAAGGAATCATCATGAGGACTCTAAGATGGATTCCTTTCGCCAAGTTAGTGATCAACCAAAATAATATAGTCTTCTGGGTGAGTCTCCTTTTAGTCTTTTATCACCATGCTTTTTATCTTTCGTTTCAATCACTGGTTGTTTAGGTCAAGCAGTGAACTTGACTAAAAAAATTATCTGGGTGATTTCATTTATAATTCGGGTCAACTTGGATTTATGGTCATTTTTGTTTAAATAATTTGAGTTTGTTAAATATGATTGATTGGATATTGAATCTCGTTTATTATGCTCGCATCTAGTATATGTGAATTTAATTGTTGATTAAATCAGGTTAAAGGCTTTTTAGCAATTAGGGAATAAGGATGGATACTGGAACTAAATTCTAGTAATTTACCATTCAGTTCTCTGGTTCTCATTTTCAGTTATATATCCCAAGCGAACTAGTCTACCGATTTTCAAAACCTAATTTATCCATATAGTGGCTATGCTTGGTTCTTGTAGGAGAATCTCTGACTGATTCTGATTTTTTTTTTTTTAATCGTGTGGACAATAATGTTTCTTTGTAGATGGTATGTAGTGATTAACGACCTCAAAAGAAAAATTATGCATTGGTTAACTATTATAAGCCAATTTATATTTCAAAGTTAAAAAGCTAAATATGGTTGTTGTTTTATCCAATAGGTAGCAGAAAGGATTACCAAAAAGCACTTGGATTCTGCTTTTGCTATCGTTAGACCTCCAGGGCATCATGCCGAAGAAGATGAAGGTATGGGGTTCTGTTTATTTAACAATGTGGCTATTGCAACACGTTTTTGTTAAATGAAAGAGTACGAGTCAGTTTTAATTCTTTAAATATAGTTTTCTTACCCGACGTTATTAATCAATTGCTTTTTTTGTTAGATGTATAATTGCCTATATGGATTTAATCAATTTACTTTTTCTTTATTGTTTAAATAATTTGAGTTTGTTGAATATGACTTATTGGATTTTGAATATCGTTTCCTGCATTTGCATCTAATGTATGTAAATTAAATTGTTGATTATATCAGGTTAGAGGCTTTTTAGCAGTTAAGGAGTACGGATGGATACTGGAACTAAGTTCTAGTAATTTAATTGTTTGGTTGTCTTTTTCAGTTATATATGCTTAGCAAACTAATTTATCCATATTGTGGTTATAATTGGTTCTTGTGGAGAATTTATGGCAGATTCTGACGGTTTTTTTCCTAATTTTGTGGACAATAATGTTTCTTTATAGATAGTATGTATTAATTAACTATTTAAAAAAAAGTATGTATTGATGAATCACTTTTAGGTTTAAATATCACTTAATGCAGTTATTGCAATCTTACCTCATTGTTAATATTGGTTGTGACGAGTATCTGAACGTTTCTGCTGGTTAAAATTTAGGGTTAGGTTTAGTCACATTTTACATTGACCTACGTAGATCTCAGGAATGCATTCTTTTATATCATTTATAAACGCTAAATCATAACCATGATCATGCACACTTTATTGAAGGATAATGCATCCTCTTAGTTTTCCTTTTAAAGAATACGAGTAACATCGTGATATTTCTTGGTGTTGCAGATTCTCTTTTACAAGGCCAGTAATTCATGGCTTACAAAGGTTTTGGTTGGGGATGAGGAGTGAGGCTGGTAACTGAAATTCTCTTCAGGTTATACACTGCAAACTCTCTTTCTTGATCAACTAGCGAATGATGTCAACATGGTAAACCGTACCAAACCGGAGGAGGTTGAACAATTCTGTAAATGGCTTACAAAGGTTTTGGTTGGGGATGAGGAGTGATGCTGGTAACTGAAATTCTCTTGAGGTTATACGCTGCAAACTCTCTGTCTTGATCAACTAGCAAATGTTGTCAACACAGTAAACCGTACTAAACCGGAGTAGGTTGAACAATTCTGTGAATGGCTTACAAAGGTTTTGGTTGGAGATGAGGAGTGACGCTGGTAACTGAAATTCTCATCAAGTTATACGCTGCAAACTCTATTTCTTGATCAACTAGCGAATGATGTCAATACAGTAAACCGTACTAAAGCAGAGGAGGTTGAACAATTCTGTGAATGCCTTACAAAGGTTTTGGTTGGGGATGAGGAGTGATACTGGTAACTGAAATTCTCTTCAGGTTATACACTGCAAAGTTTCTTTCTTGATCAACTAACGAATGATGTCAATATAATAAACCGTACTAAACCGGAGGAGGTTGAACAATTCTGTGAATGGCTTACAAAGGTTTTGGATGGGGATGAGGAGTGATGCTAGTAACTGAAATTCTCTTCAGGTTATACACTGCAAACTCTCTTTCTTGAGCAACTAGCAAATGATGTCAATATAGTGTAACGTACTAAAATTTTCTTATGCAGTAATAATATGCTCTTTCCCAAACTTTACAAGTGCTTTTGTTTTGCTGCAGACTAGATAGACAAGTGGAAGCAAAGATTTGTTTTTGTCCGGGAATGACTTTTATGCCGCCTGTCAATTGAAGTATGTGCCACAGCAAAGCTAGAAGAATAGAGGACACAGACTTTTATCTGGATGATTGGATTTTTTATAATGTGCAGTTTTATCTGGATGATATGATGTCAGAACAGGTTCTTCATTGAGAATTA